TTCATTCTGTACGTGAAATTCGAATATTAAAAATTGGCCATACATAAAAAGTTTTAATTTTATTCTTCGTCTTTCCTCTCTGTTTTAAGTTGGTGCTTATTCAAAATTTTGAGCAAAAACTTTTCAATAATTCATTTTTTGTATAAGTTTTTTGTGGCACACTGTAAGTATATCAAAACTAAGCGATCACACCTTAAAGAATTGAAAATTTTCGATAGATTTGTTTAACATTTTTTTTTAAGTATAAAAATAAGGAAAGAAAAATTGTAATTAATAACTACTGTCTTGAGTGTGTATGCTGCTTAATGAAAGTTTTTTTTATATAACGTGTATGTGGAAATGTTAATGCATAGCCAATTGAACATTCTAAATTTTAAATACCCTGTAAAAAATTAAATTCATTCCATTCGAAAAGAAGCTACATATATCTGGGGCACAGTAAAGCCTCCATCAAAGCAAGCCATGAAAAGGTGCAAGGAAGACGAAGTTCTTGAAGAATTTCGCCATTTCTTTTGAGATATTGAAAAAAAATCTTAATTTCGTCAATGACCTACAGATGATCATCAAAACTCATTGTGGATTTTCTATAATCGCAGAAAGCTAAAATTTGGTTTATACGCTAATATTAGTACACAAACAACTAAAAAATTCTAAAACTTGAAAGGTTTAGCCTCCAATCCCTTAAACAAGAAAATAGAACCAGAGCGTGTAGATCACTTGCTCCAATTTTCCCGAGCAGTAGCTAAAAATAATCATCCTTGACAGTGAGCGTACCGAAAAAATTTTCGAAATACTTGCTTAGATGCACCTTACACATATTCACGTAGACATAATAGGAACGACGACGGCCTCAATTCTGTCTCCGACTTATTTATATTAATTAAAAAAATTTCTTTTTTAAAATTACGACTCCAATTCCAGACTTTTCCTGTAACGTTTAAGAATTTTTAATATATTTTTGTAGGAACAAGCCCATAATGGGTTAATCCATTAACTTTAGAAGTATGCTCCCAATTTTTTTTTTAAAAATAAACGAAATTAAATCATTTGCTCATGCAACAAAAACATGAATTACAAGAAAAACCATTAAAAAATATCTTCATACCATAGTAGAAATTAATCGATCCACTCTCAAACATTAAAAACAATAAAAGATTAAAGGATCTTGAAGAGAAGATCTTCATATTTACGTTTGAACGGCAATTCGAACTTTTTTTGTTTCGTTTTTTTAATTTTAACATTTTTTTTTTATTTTCACTCTAAAGTTCTTTTGAAATGACTCTTTCTTCATCTTTTATAACCAATAATGAATTCATGATATTTTCTTTTCGTATCATGAAAGTTTGAAAAACATTATGTTTGTTGGCTAACACTGCGGCGCGCGTCCGTTCGTCTGTAGTGGTACATTTTATACACAAATGCGAATTTCATGAGAAACTTATTTTGTTAAAAGAAAAATTTAACTTCCTTAAACAATATGCATAATACGTAGACCTTCTGAAAGTTCGTACTGTTAAAAGTCCCCCTCTCAATATTAAGTTGTCAAAAAATAATATTTTTAACAGCTTATTGCGTTTTACAGCTTTAAAATCCCGCAAAAAGAATTTTCTTAGAGCAAGTTCCGATGCTAATTCTATCAGAAATTGAATCTTCTATTAACCGTTATTTCGATTGACTTTTTTTTTTAAATTTGACAAGTCTCAGATACGAAATTGCAAAGATCTTAATTTTAACCAGAATTTGGCCGTCAATTGTTATTCAATTTATTACGAAATTTTTTTGTGTCACCACATTTTCTCCTGCGTTATTTCCGTCTCATAAAAATAACAATATTTCAATATTCAGCAACTTACTCCTTTGACACTATATAAGCTTTATCAAATTTCCTGTTAGAAAATAAATTAATTATTTTACAAAATATCACAATTTGTAATACAAATTATATTACACTGTTATAATCGTGTTTCTATTTTTGATTTTCTCCCCAGAGTTATGTAATAACGTTACGTATTATGGTATTAGAAGAATTATGTAAATAAAACATAGTTTATTTTGAAGAATTTTTTTTTTCAAGTGAAATGTTCTGCTTTAAAAATCATTGAATTCTTCCTAAATCGTTCTTCATTCATGTGATGCGTTTCAAACTATATACAACACTATTATTATAACACTAACGTTAAATCAATTTTTAATGGCTGAATTGAATTGAAATATAATTTTAAAAGGATTGCACGATGGCCGATGATTTTAGAGTTTTAAGATGAATTTTACTTGAATCAATTTTATTTCTTCTAGATATGTATATATTTTTTATTATATAAAATGGAAGGTATACAAGCTATTAGATTTTCTGGTGAAATAAAGTCAAGAAAAAAAATGTTAAATTTTTATTGAATTTAAAATCTTTGCACCACGATTATGTACACATATGCATATCACATTTACAGTACAAAAACAGTTTTTTGACTCTTCATTTTTTAAAAACCATTTATGTACGATATTTTTTTATTGTACTACGTTGAATTTTGGGATTGCACTCCGTACGGCTCTGTCTAAACCGGCTGTAACCTAAAAGTAATTTAATTTTTCCCAATTAAGCTACTGGTAGCTAAATTATGACCACAAATTATGACCATGTATACAAAAGAACTAATATGAGAAAGGAAAGGGTTAGGATTTTGTTCGATATTAAATTTTCTAATATTCAAATTAGTTTCGAGTGTACAGTGTGTAATTACTTATAATTACTTGTTTTTTAATAAATTTCTGTTTTTCATAATTACACTAATTTATTTTATAATCACCATCAAAACAAAAGAAAAAATAAAAATATTTTTAAAAAATGTAACGTACCTACCTTATGAAAAAGGAATTTTTTCTTAATAATCAATGGCAAAGATAAAAATTACACCTACCTACCTACCTGTCTCTGAGGATAAAATTTAAAGTAAAAAAAAAAAACAGATTAAACTAAATAAAATTAAAAAATTAAACCGAAAATGTCAAAATTCTTCAAAAAAAATAACAAAAAAAACTGAAAGGTAACGAACAGGTAAATTAAAGTTAATATTTTTGTTTGTTTGAAGCGCGCATTCATTTCTATGATCTGAACAAATTCATCATTAAAGGATTCAAGTAAACATGCCTCTTTGGCATAAGTTTTTTTTTTGTTAACATTAATTTAAGTTCCTTCAGCTATAGGATTAAAAAATTTTTTGAATTGCAATATTTTTACTGATCCCACTGCAAACAAGAAGGGTTGTGTTATGGCACCAATTTTCGGATGTAGTTCAAATTTTCGGTGGGAGCACACTTGGTATACTGGGAAGCGTAAAAAAACTATTTTCAGAGAGATGCCGTGTGTTCATATGTTTATATGTAAGTTTATTTTAACGGTGGGACGGTTTAATTAACTTTTGCGATATGTCAATTCCGAAGAATTGGACATTATAACGGGCTGATTTTACATTTTTGCGCATATAAAGAGAGATATTCAACCAGCATGATATTTCATATTTAAATTAAAACAATATAACCTATAAATTTTTATCAAAATATCAGGACTCAGAAACCGAACTGGGGGCCGGTTTTACATTTTTTACCGTATATACGCAACTAATTGATGGACTTTCTTGAAATTTAATATTTGAGTTCTGGTTGTTAACAGAAGTTATTGACGAGCTTTTCATATAATTCGGACGGCACAAAATGAAACTCTACTAAGAGCCAAATTCACATTTTTCTAGGAATGTTAACTAAAAACTTATTAGTGCTCTTAAAATTGTAAAGAAGTGTTAAAAACGCATTTTTATAACTTTCTGTAACACATTCGCTAACCTAGACAGTACACATTGGGGGTCGGTATGCTGACCACATCCAAGTCCTTTTGTTATCAAACCATATCAAAAATGTAGAAGTTCAATTTTATCGTATTTACTGAATAAGACAAAGTTCATTTGTTTATGGTAGTTCAAATGAAGGCTCTTATAACTTAACTATATGTTTTACAACTTCGTGACTTCGTAACAAAAATTAAAATTTTTTCTTGTTATAAACGTAATAACAAAAACTATATTATGTACTCCATTTTAAAATAATCAAAAAAGAATCATTATTAAATTTTCTTCTTTTGTAATATTTTTTTTCGGTTCTCTTCTCCGTTTCTTCTGGTTTGTTTTTTTCCTTGTGATATCGATTAGACTTGAACATATACACACATATTACATTACAAAACATATTTTGTATGCAAAGGTACACTATTGAATAAGAAAAACAAAAATCCAAAACCAAAAAAGAAAAAAAAAACCTTAACTAATTGAATCTTGGTGTTAAATTTAACAATGGCATTTTTGAAAAGTTGTATTTTTTGTATAGAAGGCAAAGGTAAGAAGCAGCTAGCATTGTTGAGAGGCGAATCAGCCAGCAAAGCAGCAAAGGTTTGATTTTATTTTTATAATTTTTTTTTTTGAATGGCATATAAAATGATTTAAGGTACTCTAGAGAGAATTTAAAGAAACATTAATTAAATCAATATTTTTTTTTTTTGCTTTTTTTTTGTATTTTTTTGAGTATGGTGTTTCGTTTTTCATAAACTTGCAGACGAATTGTTTTAATCCTTTTTTTTTTTGTTTTAGTTTTATTCCGAGAGGCTATTCCATTGGGTTCAGGTGATGGAATGATGAATTGTTTTTTTTTTGTGTTTTTTTTTTGCATCTTCTCATATTAATTTAGTTGCTTTAGTTTTAATTTTTTTTTGTTGTTTTTGTATTCTTTTTGTATTATGTAGAATTGCTGATATGTTGTAAGATTAGATTGCATCTGCGTTGATGCGATTGTGCTTATGAAGTGTATGAGGAATAAATATGTATATATATTTATGTATATGAAGAGATTGAAATATATTTGTATGAAGAGTTGAATTCTTTTGCTTACTAAACTAACACTAATATTGTGTATAGATTTATTCATTTAAATGATGATGTTGGTAATGATGTTGATAGTGTATATTGATGATGATGATCAAAATGATGATAATAATAATGTTATGGTGGGTACATCAGGTTGAATATTGTATATGTTTGTATTTTGGTTGTTGATTCTTTCTGTTCCTTTGATAATATTGCGAATTTGTCGTCGTCGTCTTCGTCTCCCATGTTTAACAGCACAAAGAGAAAAAAAAACAAACAACAAACTTACTTTTGTTTTTGCTTATATTATTTTGCTATATGGGTACACCTTGGTGTAAAAATAATAGTTTTATTGGGGGCTCTTATATGCGTTATTATTGTGCTTTGTTCTTATTGCTTTTTATTGCAATTTTTTTTTTTGCTTTGCTTATATTTTAATGCATAAATTTTTTTTTAAATATGCTTGATTTTTCGTTTTTTTTCTCATATTTATTTTTTGTTTATTATTATATTTTTGCTTATATTTTATATATATATTTTTTTTGTGGGCTGCTTCCCAGTAATTTTAGCGGCATATAACAAAAGATTTAACTTTAAGATAGACGTATGTATAAATTTCACGGTATATTGCGTCATTTATGCATAATAAAAAAAATTATTCTTACATGCATGAACACATATACATATTAAAAAAATATAGGTATGTATATATGTTGTATGTACATTTTAAATTTCAAGTGTCCATTAGATTTAGTGTTCATTTAGTGACCACAAATTCCTTTGAATTTAATCCGCAATATTTATTTTATATTATTTTATTAAAAAATAATAATTTATTAAAATGAAAGAGATCGTCGCTTATGCTGTGGCCATGGTACTCACTATGGGTTTAAAAAATAAAAAAAATTATTAAAATAAAATTTTATTTAATATTTTTGTTTTTTTTTTACCATTATTATTGCAAAATAAATGAAAAAGAAAAAAAAATGGCAAATATTTTTTTTTTATTTTAAATCTAGGATTGGTTTTTCTATAAGTAAATGTACTTGCGGTTATATCAAATATAAATATTTAAATAGTATATAAGATTGAAGATTAAGTAAATAAAAAAAGTACGTTATGGTATGCATGGCACCTTTTGTATGCCTATGAACCTGGGTATAATAAAATTTTTTGTTTTTTTAAAAAGATCTGATTAAAAATTTTTTTTTCTAATAAAATTATGTTTTAATATTTTTAAAATGATGATTTTTTTTTGGATTCAAATAAGTTTTTTGCATATATCGAATCCGTAAAATAACACTTTCACAATTTTAAATATAGTAGAAAACGAGGTGATGACAATATACGAATAATGCACTTTCTACAGCCCTATTTTGGGTTGCTTGCAAAAATTTCAAGATAATAATAATATGTAAAACTATTATTGGGACTTTTTGTTTTTAGGTAGGTATATGTGGAATTAAACTATTACTTCGAAGAAATAATTAACATTTACGATTCTGAAAGACGATTATGAATTACTATTAATTACGATTCTGGAAAAATTTTGTGATATTCATCCGAACGAGTTGTAAATTCTTCATTTGGACGATCATACATCCCGAAAACAGAAAAGATTTCCTAGATAAAATCGAATTTCAATGACAAATTAAAGATTTCATAGATATGTGGGTTTCTTAATTGGCCTATACTATATCTTATTTCAAGTTACTAACTCCTTCGGCTAAACTTAGATTGTTCTCAAAATATTCGCAGTTTTTTTTACAAAAAGTATGAATAAAATTTTAAATAAAAGATTTTAAATTTGAAATGTTTGATATCTGAACTTTGTCATTCTCTGTATACGTTCTCAGTATTTTGCGTGTAATAACATCCAGTAAATTATATATGGAGGTCAAAATAAAATATATTATTCATAATGTCCACGTAATAAATTGCATTTTTCAATTATTTTACAAGTTTTATAGATTCATAAGAATATTTTATAGAAATAATAGGACAGCTGATGAGGTTGTCATTAATATTTTGTTATAATGAATGAGAAATTTTTTTTTATATCACTTGTGAGCTCTTATAGCAAATCTCTAAAATCTCTTAAAAGTTTAATTATATAAGTTTTCTTTTCATGACAAAACTTTTTTTAATAGCACACTAATTTATTAATGGTTGTTACAAAGTAAGGATGCCGTTTTATTGCAACTTTGCTCATATAGTAATTTGCTGACTTAAGAATAATATAAAACAATTAATTCTCTATATAAAAGAATGTTATATTATATGGTATTATAAATATATGTACATAAATGTATACAACATTTATTTTTTACTCCATTTTATATATAAAAAGTTAGTCAATTATAAATTACATTAAATAATAACTTCTGTATAAATTTACGTTTATGATTCTAGATTAAGTTATTAGTGACTAGAGCTTACAGTAACTAAAGTTGAAAGCTTATGTTCGTATATTTGAAAAATAGAATTGATTAATTTATTGTTATGTCTATACTAACAACTTTTTTCCTAAAAATTTCAGAAGGATTCAAACCCCCGGAAATCCTGTATTTCGCTCAATATTGCTATTAGCACATAAATAGCTGTCTTTTCGCTTTTACTTTCGCAAGTAAGTTCGTCTTACTTGTTAATTTTATACGACACATCTCCATTCATCAAACTTAAGTACATTTTTTTAAAGTAATGAGAAATACAAATTTTGGACTCGTTTATTTTGGTGGAAATAAAATTCCCTCTACCTTCCAACTAAAATTTAACAAAATGTCAATATTTAGTTATCAGTTTTTGTATCACTATAAGTTTTATTAAATTATTATAAAACTGACAGTATAACAGTAATCGTTTTCGTGCTTAAACTAATACATTCTTATATAATACAATAATTGAATTAATCTGTTAAGCAATAGGAATTTAATAATTGTTCTGGTATACCACTTTTTTTTTTTCATTTTAAGAATCTGCCTAAATTTATGCAAAATTTTATAATAATAAGAGAATTGTATAAAAATAATTTCAAAATTTTTTTTACTAGTTTATACAGCTATATTATCCCTCTTAATTTCTAAACCTAAACTGTTAAATGAAAATTTGTTATTTTGCAAAAATCATTAAGTTTTGGTCTACTTATACGGTTTTCGTATTAAATATTAAAAACTATGGCAACACTAATTGTAATTATCAATATAATAACAATAATAACGGAAAATATATAAAAAAATTAATTATTTCCAAATTGTTATTCGGTTGTCAAACGCCAAATTCAATTCTGTCAATTGTAATCACTCAGTTTTGTTTATGATGAAATTGATGTTTTGCAAGAGAAAAAAAATACTTTTCAAAGAGAAATAAAGAAAAATCAAAAAAAAGAAAAAGGACGAAAACTTGAAAGAGAATTAAAATGAAATGAGAAGGAAAAACTTTGTTGATGACAGAAAACAACTTGGGACTTCAATGCAATGCAACTATAGATCAACGCATCAATTTTATAAATTTGTTTTTCTTATGCTGCTTTTTTTTCTCATTTCTTGATCTTTTTATGATATTTTTTTTATTCTTATTTTACCGATGGATTGTAATTGTGGTTGAAATTCTTTTATGGTATGTTGAATTTAATATACGGTGGCATCTGATTAATATGAGTACAAACAAGCATACATACATTGGACAAACAGGCATACATATACATATAATAACAATTACCTGAATGAACATATGAATGTATGTGCATTTGTATGTTTAGTGAGCAATTTAATATGGCTTTCAACTGTACATAATAATATTGATTTTTTTTTTTGTGTTGTCTGTTGGTTTTTTTTTTTTGGTTGTTGTTCTTTAAAAGCTTTTTGTGATGTTTGATTATCGGTTTGTTTAATTTTTATTTGTTTTTCTCATATTATCATTTTTATTATTATTTTTTGAGTTTTTTTTTTTTAATTTTTTTTGCAAATTTCTTTTTGCGGTATTTTGCTTGCTGTCAAATTGGTTCTTGTACCGCCTTTTATCTTATTTTGTCACATTACATATATAGCGTTGCTATTTAGATGAAATCTGACTAGCATGAGACCGATTTGATAGTTCTGTTTATATATATTTTTTTTTGAATTTATTATTATTGCTTTTTTATTTATTTTTAATTTTTTTTTCGATATCTTTCAAAGTTTTTATTCAACGCTTCAATATTTCTTGTAATATTAATTTGATATAAAAAAAACATATTTTGGTATTATAAAAATTATTAAACGTTTAAAATGTATTTAACTACATATTTATGTGAAAATAAAGAAAATATATATATTAGCAGTTGGTAACACTTGTGAAAATTGTCCAGCCTATGCAGAAATGTAAATGTAATTAAAAAATGTAAGAAGAAAAAGTTTTATTATTCAATTATATTTTATTATGCAATATAAATTTGTCATACATACGATATACAAGAAGAAATTTACGATATTCAAGTTGATATTTATGTATGCCTACTTGTATATCGTATATAAGAGCACGTAAGTCGAGAAATTTAAGTCAAAGTGTTAGCAAAATTTAGTCTACAAATATTATGATTTTAAATTAAATTCTTAAGACTTTTAGTTGTAATTGCAGTTTTCTTTTTTATAAAAAGCCCGTTGCCGGATTTCTTTAGGTACTGCAACTATAATCTACAATGTACCAAAGCTCAAGGGTTTACTTTTTATGTTTTGCAAAATATGTATAGTTTAAATAATTGTAGAATTCTATATTTTAAGATGTGGCCATAAGAAATATTTAGAAATAATCGAGTAAGTTATGGATTATTTCAAGATTCCACCATTGATGTGACAGACATCATTAGTAATTCAACCCTTTAACATTTGTAATTAAAGAAACAGTCAGATTATTATAGTCGACTTTAAAAATTTGACAAAAAATTTTAACTTCGACATTGGAGTTTTCTGTTGATGAGTCTAGAGCTTTAAAAAAAAAATTGCACAATTTTATAGGATTCTCGAAATTAATAGTGATTAAAAAGGTTATCCCTTCTGATAATTCGCCCTATAACCGCTTATATTCATGTTTGAGAGAAAAAAAAACTGTAAGTCGGACGTGGTTTCAAACAAAAAAAAATTCATTGATCGTTATTTAAACTAAATCATAAAAAATAAAGTTG